TTGCCTCAGTACGGAGAGATGCAGCAACAAGCAGCAAAAGAGAACGGTGCACATTCAAAGCCAGTTTTTCAGGCCACTGACTGCCACTCCAGCATCCCGTCAGAATGCCAGTTCAAGGCCACCCCTCAACCTGGCCCTTCTGGAGCCAGGACGGAGCTGCCGCAGCAGGGCCAGCCCCCGGGTGTTTATCAGACGTGCGCAGTGTGCTGCCCTGGCCTGCTGCGTGACATGAGACCCTGGAGTGGGAGCTGTTGGTGCGGTTGTTGCCACTTCCCCCTGTATTCCCTGACTTTTTATGGATTGTTTAAAAGCTGACATCTCTGGCAGCTTGTTTTGTGTTCAGAATGACTGGGTTAAAATAGCCCAGTTCATGAAAGCCACTCCGTGCCAGCCGTGTGGACCACAGGGTGCAGACAGCCACTGTGACAGCGTCCACGGCCTCTCCGTGCCAGCCGTGTGGACCACAGGGTGCAGACAGCAGCTGCCTGTATGAACACCCCAGAAGGGGAGCAGGCCCTCAGGGAACGGCACGGCGGGGGTGCAGTGGGCCTGGACATGGCAGCAGAAGCAGTGAGGAAGAGCCCGTCCCAGGTCTGTGTGCCCTGGGGTCGAACCTGGCTCGTGGGCTCTGCCTTCAGCCTGGCCCCTGGATCTGGCTCCCAAGCTGCCTGCTTTTGATGTGCTCAGTTTCCATTTGATTAGAAAGGCCGAGGACCACACCCTCGCTGCTGCTTCACTTCACCAGTACCCAAGACAGGTGGAGCTGCGCCGGGCTGGAGCCAGAAGCGCTGTCCAGGCCGCCCGCAGGGATGTCCAGCCCCTAGGTACTAGAGCCGTCCCCTGGTGTCTCCTAGGCTGCACAGCAGCACAAAACTGGAAGGGAGAGTGGAGCCAACACCTCAACACGGGCACTTCCTAGCTACGCAGAAAGCTCTGCGTGTCACACCCAGGAGGCCTTTACAGTGCAATGGTGCTGGGCCCCACACCTGCTCCCCTCGCTCTGTGTGTGTCCTCACCCCGAGTTCCTGGCTGCACTGGGCTCTCCTGCGAGATCGTTCTGTGCTAGCCCCATGGCCTAAAGGGTTAGCCTTAATCCCTCCACCTGCGCCTCTGAGTGATGGGGTCCAGTCCCTGGGGGTCACTGTGTTGGGCCTTTGTGGGGGGAGCCTCTCCACTCAGGTCACGCCTGCCCCAAGGCTGCTCGGTCCTTTGCTCCATCCCATCTCAGCCCCTAACCTTTGGGGGGCTGTGAGGCTGTAGTGCTGCTGGGGCTGCTTTGTGTTGGCGCCTTAGAGCCATTCTGCTCTCTGAACATGCCTCACGCTCTGCACCTGAACGCCGGTGTTAGACCAGGGTCTTCCCACCTTCCAGTCTCCCATGTGGTGCAGAGGCCCAGGCACTTGGGTCTCAGGTACACGAGTAGTGAGCTGGAAGCTTGAGCCGGTGCCCATGTGGGGTGACGCGGCACCAGGACCTCTTCGGTAGACACTTGGGCTGTTCCAGTTTCCCTGGTCCCTCTTTTGCTTTGCTTTGGGCTGTTTCCTCTTTGCCGTGAGGAAGCGTGACGCTGAGTGCTCTGTGTGGATCCGATTGAGCACGGATACAGCATGTCCACTTCCAGGAGACCATGGGGATGCGGAGGTCACTGTACCCTCTCGTGGGCCTCGAGGTCCCTGTGGGTCTGCATTCTTTCTCGCTCCAGGACGGACTACGTGTCTTAGAGTCCTGCCAGCCGAGCAGACCGCGCGTGACGGTCCGTGGCTGAGGATGGTGGATGATCTGCCGTTAGAAGCCGTGCATCCATCTGCTCGTTCCCAGTGGGTAGGACCGGGCCAAGCGGAACTGGGGACCTGAAGCCCGGGAGAAGTCAGAACAGAGGTGGGGCCCAGACCCAGGCACTCGGATCTGGGATGTGTGTGTCCTAAGTGATGTGTTAGCTGCTCGGCCAAACCCAGGAGCCCAGGCCTCCACCTTGCCCGTGACTGGCAGGGGCCCGAATACCGGGCCTGTCTTCTGCTTTCCCACATGCATCACAGGAAGCTGTTTGGAAGTGCTGAGTAGCCAGCTGGAACTGGTACTCGTGTGGGGTGTGGTGGCCCAGCACGCTGCACCAGAGCAGCTGCTCCAAGGCGTGTTTGTGCTACCTACATGTGTGTTCAAAGCGGCCTTGGGCCAGCACTGTGGCCCAGTGGATCAAGCCACTGCCTACAACATCAGCATTGCGTATGACAAGTAACAGATGAGTCTGGCCACTCACTTCCCCTGCAGCTCCCTGCCTGGGCCCTGCCCCCACGTGCCTGCCCCAAATGGAGCCCCAGGCTCCTTCCTTTGTCTTGTCCAGCCTTGGCCATTGCAGCCACATGGGAAGTAAAGCTCAATAGATTAGGTCTCTGTCCTCTCTCCCTCTCCCTCTTTGTCTCTATGTGTAACTCTGTCTTTCAAGTATAAATAAACACCTCATTTTATCATTGGAAGCACCCTTGGGGGCCTGGCATGGTAGCCTGGTGGCTAAATCCTCACCTTGCCTGGGTAGGATCCCATATGCACACCAGTTCATGTCCTGGCTGCTCACTTCCCATTCAGCTCCCTGCTTGTGACCTGGGAAAGCAGTGGAGGACGGCCCAAAGCCTTGGGAGCCTGCACCCATGTGGGAGACCCAGAAGAGGCTCCTGGCTTCAGATCAGCTCAGCTCCAGCCATTGTGGCCACTTGGGGAGTGAACCAGTGGGTGGAAGATCTTTCTATCTCTTCTTTCTTTCCAATAAAAATAAATAAATCTTTAAAAAAGAAAGAAAAAAGAGAAGAAAAGAAAAAACCACCTTGAGAAGGCCGGTGAATGGGGACTTGTGTCCCACGAGCCCCTCGGTCCTTCCCACACCGGCTTGTGATGTGGTAATTTCAGAAGGCGATTTTGTCCAGAGCTTGTTATTGACAAAAGGATTAGTCTGCTCCAAATGATGCTGTCACTGCTGGACTCCGTAAATCCCGATCAGTAAGCGCACCGGGGGGACAGCAGCTCCGGGGCACGGTGGCATGCGCGGGTCTTAGAGCCAAGCACGGCTCTGGTTCCTTGTGTCTGTCCGCCACCAGGTGCCGGGCCAAGCTGGTCCCGAAGTGGCCGAGAGTGGAGGGGGTGTGCCCGTGGCCGGGGCAGCTCCGTGAGCAGCGATGCCCGTGGAGGGGCTGCCATGTCGTCGACAGGTGCCACCCTCTTTAATTGTGGTGCTGGTTGGGCAGCAGAAGGCTGACTGCACTCCACGGCCACTACCGTAACTTCCTCCATCCACGGGGCGCCGCAGGGTGTGGTCCCTGGGGAAGGGAGCCTGGCCGCCCGCCTCCCCATGAGCCGCCATGCCCCGCAGCAGCGCCACCCTGACCAGCTCTTCTCTTCCTGCCTCTGTGTCTTTCACGCTTCACAACCCCTGTGCCTGGTCGCTCAGCGTGGTCCTCCCTGTGCCTGTCTCTGAGCACGGTCCTCCCTGTGCCTGGTCGCTCAGCGTGGTCCTCCCTGTGCCTGGTCCCTGAGCACCGTCCTCCCTGTGCCTGTCTCTGAGCACGGTCCTCCCTGTGCCTGGTCCCTGAGCACCGTCCTCCCTGTGCCTGTCTCTGAGCACGGTCCTCCCTGTGCCTGGTCCCTGAGCACCGTCCTCCCTGTGCCTGTCTCTGAGCACCGTCCTCCCTGTGCCTGGTCGCTCAGCGTGGTCCTCCCTGTGCCTGGTCGCTCAGCGTGGTCCTCCCTGTGCCTGGTTGCTCAGCGTGATCCTCCCTGTGCCTGGTCGCTCAGCGTGGTCCTCCCTGTGCCTGGTCCCTGAGCACCGTCCTCCCTGTGCCTGTCTCTGAGCACGGTCCTCCCTGTGCCTGGTCGCTCAGCGTGGTCCTCCCTGTGCCTGGTCGCTCAGCGTGGTCCTCCCTGTGCCTGGTCCCTGAGCACCGTCCTCCCTGGGGCCCACTGCTTCCTCCTGCCCCTTGCCTTCTCCCAGCAGCAGTGTGTTGGGATACACGTTGTAGACACAGGCACAGGTGCGCCCTGATAGACCTGTCACGTGAGCTCACCTAACACTGGCAGTGCCTTACGGCCCGAGACTGGCATGGGCTGCCCCCACTGCTCCTGCCCAGCACCACCACTGGGGATGGCACTGTACAGCGCCCTCTAGGATCCACAGTGGGACCGCTCCTGCGTCAGGAGCTGTGTGTGCCTGCTGCTGGTTTTGAAGGGGCTTAGTCTGAATTTTAAATGTAGGTGAGTCGGGGGGCTAGCATTGTGACATAGCAGGTTAAGCTGCTGCCTTTAGTGCCAGCATCCAATGTGGGTTCACTTTTGTGTCCCGGCTGCTCCTTTTGCAGCTCCGAGCTGACTGCGTGGGAGAGCAGCACAGGATGGCCCAGGGGGAAGATCTCTGTCCCCACCTCTCCCCTCTCTGTCAACTCAAAATGTAAGGGGATTGGCATCTGTTGCTTTTGGTCCTGCCCTGCTCTGTGTGCCACCTGTCCTGGCTCCTGCCAGCCCTGGGGGGCATTTGCCTGCACCCCAAAGTCTCAGCTGCTCTTAGGGTCCACACAGTTTGTGTCTTGGGCTTGGTTTCCCTTGGTGCTCCTGGGAAGGGGCTCCCGTGACTTCCTGCCAGGCCTCCCCGACGGACGTTGCCGAGCTCACGCCGCCCTGCTCAGCTGCACTCTCTTGCTTCATTTTTGAAGGTTTATGTGTCTTTGAGAAGCAGGGTGATGGGGAGGGAGAGCAGGGATGATCTGCTTGCTGGCCCACTCCCTAAATGGCCGGGGCTGGGCCAGGCTGAAGCCAGAAGCTGGGAGGCTTGGGTGCAGGGCCCACGAACTGGGGCCGTCCTCCACTGCTTCCCCAGCTGCATCAGGAGGGAGCTGGGTCGGAAGTGGAGTGGCGGGACTCAAGCTCTGGGGATGCCAACATCACAGGTGGTGGCTTCACCCGGTGCCCCCTGCCCACCCATCCTATACCTGTCACTCACATCCTTTCCTTCTTCACAGGTTTTGCATGCAAAAATGCGTCAGTCTCGTGCCCGGAGTCACACTGGACCTCATAGAAAAGTAAGTAGGGCTGGGCCTGTATCACCTGCCTGCCTCCCTGCGCCGCCTGCCTGCCTCCCCGCACCGCCTGCCTCCCTGTGCCACCTGCCTGCCTCCCTGTGCCGCCTACCTGCCTCCCCGCACCGCCTGCCTCCCCGCGCCACCTGCCTGCCTCCCCGCGCCACCTGCCTGCCTCCCTGCGCCGCCTGCCTGCCTCCCTGCGCCGCCTGCCTGCCTCCCCGCGCCACCTGCCTGCCTCCCCGCGCCGCCTGCCTCCCCGCGCCGCCTGCCTCCCACTTGCCTGCCTCCCCACCTGCCTGCCTCCCCACCTGCCTGCCTCCCCACGCCGCCTGCCTCCCCACCTGCCTGCCTCCCCACCTGCCTGCCTCCCCGCGCCGCCTGCCTCCCCACCTGCCTGCCTCCCCAGCTGCCTGCCTGCCTCCCTGTGCCACCTGCCTGCCTCCCCAGCTGCCTGCCTGCCTCCCTGTGCCACCTGCCTCCCCGTGCCACCTGCTTGCCTCCCCGTGCCACCTGCCTGCCTCCCCACCTGCCTGCCTCCCCACCTGCCTACCTCCCCACCTGCCTGCCTCCCCGTGCCACCTGCCTGCCTCCCGCACCCTCTCCTGTTCTCAGGGCATGGCGGCAATTGCAGGGGGTGGGGAAGGGGAACTGGGCTGAGAGAAGAGGAACAAAGCTGTTCTTTCGCACGCTGTGAATTCCTGCGGACTCCAAGTCAGAGCAGAAACACATCTGTGTGCCTGCCGGTCGCTTCTGCTTTTTCTGATGGACATGGCTGGTTAGAGCCAAGCTTTTCTCTGGCTTCCCGCCCGGCCCCGTCCTGGTCCTGTCTAGAAGTGCCTGTTCCAGAAGGCTCCCCTGGGCTGCATATCTCCTGAGCTGAGCCCTTTGAACCGATGTTAGGTCCCAAGACTCAGAGCCAGACCTGATGTTCCTGGTTGCTTGTCTGTGCGGTGACTCACCCTTCTAGGCCTGTGGGAATGAGACAGGATTGTCTGAGACCGTTGTGCCATGATCGCTATGACTGCTGTAGTTCACAGACAAGCTGGCACTTGGGAAAGTTTGATACACAAAGTCCTGTGCACAATGGTGAAGGCCAGGATTCGTTCATTAGACAGGACAAGCCAGTCAGCCTCCACGAACCTCCAGCCAGCTTCCAAGGCTCCTGTGTGCGTCAAGTCAGCTGTGGGGCCCCCTGGGGCACGGGGTGTGGCAGATAGAAGACAGGACTCTCCCACGTGCGCTCCAAGTGAAACACTCCAATGGGTTCCGGGACGATTGTCCAAGCAATATGATGTGTGTGTGGAAGCCGCAGTGTGGCCCCACGGAGCCCCTTCCTGGGGAGTGCAGTGTACACAGGTGATGGGCAGTGTAGACAGGTGATGGATGCAGACTGTGTTTTTGTTAGTCTTGTGACACACTGACAACTCAGCTGGACAGAAAGTTTAGCACAATGTCCTGAAGCCTCACTTTGTTGCCGGCAAATGGTCATTACCCTGAAATCCATGTGTGAAGCTGAAGACCTACGTCCCAGCTTCCCCAACAATACAAGTTATCCCAAGAGACATGCATCCAGTAACCTGGACACACAAAGCTGCAGACATCGACCTCTGCCTGGCTCTTCTGCCCTCATCCCACCTCTGCCAGGCCTCGCCTCTCCTGGAACTCCCGACAGCACACACATTAGTTACAAAGCATCTTAGCGTTGCTAACTGCACTGTCCGGCCCAAGCAGGAGCAGGGGTGAGGGATACACACAGGAACCGTGCTCAGGGCGCCCTGTGCTCGGAGTCTGACTGTGGGGAGCCAGAGAGCAAGCAGGTGCTGAGGCGGCCGAATCCGTGCCAGAGCGACAGAAGCACAGGGCCTAGAGAGCCCCTCCCTGCCACGGCCTTTAGGGGGCTTGAGAGGAGTGCTTACACAACACTGCAGTGCTCCCTTCTCAGGCTCCAGGTGCTGGCAGGTGGGCAGGAGGGAACGCCTAGCTAGTGGGAATAGGGGGGATGGCTTCCAAGCGCATGACCCTGAACCAGCTGCCTACCTCACAACTTCCTCTTCCTTCTGAGAGGAGGCCCGGGAACTGGGGCTGTGTGGGTGCTCGGGGTGTCTCCCTCGGTCAAAGCATGTAGCAGCCAATGGTTTGGGGTCCACAGTGGTCATAGTGACCCCAAACCTTGGCTGCCTCCCCTCCCACGTTGTACTGTGTCTTTGGCGTGAGGCATCCACTTTCTTAGGCCTTTCTTGGCTGTGTGTCCCAGGCACACAGGGTGCTAATCTGCATAGCTGGCAGGGACACCACCAGGCCACCCCCTGCCACTTCCCCTCCAGTGCTGGTGATCCCCAGCTGCAGACAGGGCTCAGCATGTCCCCCAAAGGTCTTCCTGGGGGGCCGGGGCTCAGGGTGCTGACCCCCAGGAAAGCATTCATCTGTCCACAGTCACTGCAAGGGCTTCCGGTGACGCATTGAGGCCTAAAGGGGGGCTGTGGACAGTCATTCACATCGTGGTCCCCCCACCACATGGCTCCGACCTGTGGAATCACCCGTGTCCTAGTCTCACACACACACACACACACACACACACACGGCTCCGACCTGTTGTTGAGTCCTAGTCTCTCTCTCACACACACACACGGCTCTGACCTGTGGAGTCACCCGTGTCCTAGTAACACACACACACACACACACACACACACACACACACACACACGGCTCCGACCTGTGGAGTCACCCGTGTCCTAGTCTCTCTCTCTCTCTCTCTCTCTCACACACACACACACACACACACACACACACACACGCACGCACACACGGCTCCGACCTGTGGAGTCACCCGTGTCCTAGTCTCACACACACACACACACACACACACACACACTGTTCCGACCTGTTGTTGAGTCTCCTGGGCTCCAACTCACCTGTCTCCAGGTCCAGGCTCTGGAGTGAACATTGTTCGGGTCATGGAGACCGACCCTCCCCTTGCCTTACTCTCCAGCTGCCCGGTGGCAGAGCCTCGCAGCCAGCACCCCGCAGCGCCTTGAGGTCATGCCCATCTCTGCAGGCTCCTCCCTTGACTGAGATTCTGGTCTGAGGTCTGGTCATTTCCAGAGCTGGAATCATGCATAGCAACTTGGCATCTTATTTTTAAAGACTTACTTATTTATCATTTGAAAGGCAGAGTTACAGAGAGAGGGACAATAAGCCATCTTCCTCCAAGTGACCCCGTGTTGCTCCGGATCCCCCACGTGGCTGCGTTGGCCACAGCGCTTGGCCCGTCCTCTTCTGCCGCTCTCCCACGTGCGTTAGCAGGAGCTGGGCTGGAAGCGGAGCAGCCGTCTGGTTGGCGCCCTCAGCTGAGTGTCACCAGGCAGGACTCGATCTGAGGTAGGGTGTGTGCTCTGAGCGGCTCCAGCCTAGAGAACTTGTCTGCAGTCACACACCCGTGGTCCAGGAAGGCATTGCAGAGAGAGGGACAGTGGGAACTCAAAGCAAAACCCAACTGAGAAGGATGTGGGGCCGGTGTGGTGGCATAGCGTACTAATCCTCCATCTGTGATGCCGTCATCCCGGTGGGCACCAGTTCCAGTCCTGGCTGCTCTGCCTGTAGCCCACCTCCTGATAATGTGCCTGAGAAAGTGCAGAAGTCGGCCCAAGTGCTTGTTCCCCTGCACCCATGGGGAGACTCAGAAGAAGCTCCAGGCCCCTAGCTTCAGATTGGCTCGGCTTCCACATTGTGGCCATTTGCGGAATGAATCTTTAAGGAAAATCTTTCTGTCTCTCCCCACCCCTCATAACTCTGCCTTTCAAGTAAAATAAATGAGTGAATTAATCTTTTAAGAATGAATGAAAGTCTGTGAGGAGACACTTTTACAAAGGGAATTTCAGGGTACCACGGTCACAAGAAGATGCGGTGTCCCAAGCCATTCGGCAGGTGCACATGAAGGCCACAGCAGGTGGCTCTTGGAGAGGCTGAGGGAGGTGACAGCAGCACCAGTGCAATGTGCCACACAGGGTCTGCCCATGTCACGGGGTGCCCGCCAAGGATTGTCATCGAGTCTTTTCCCATAGACGCACTGCCCCTCCCAGCCGTCCTGCTCCCAGGAACTTAGCTGGAGGACTGGCAGCGAGCAGCTTGCGTCCCACGGGTGCCATGTGTGGCCATGTCGCGCCCCGGATGGTCCTCGGACAGACCTGTGCTGTGGGCTCGCGCTTGTCCTGCAGCTGGGGGTGCCAGGGACTCCAGGAGCGGCGGGGGCTGATGGTGTATCTGTGGCCATTTGTGCAGTTAGATTTCTGGTTTTGAAGAGGTTTGCGTTTTTCAAAGCTTGTTCGGGACAGCTCTCAAAGCCTGCCGGCTTGCCCGCGTGGCTGTGCAGCTTCCGGCTCAGCAGAACCTGCTCCAGCTGCAGCGGCACACTGCTGCTCTCGCCTCGGCTCGGCAGAGCTCCAGTTGGATGCGAGTGGCTGAGTGATGGTTTTGCTTCTGTGCCAAGGAACGTTCTGTGCTTTAGGAGCAGAAGCCCTCCGGGCTGCAGAACCTGCCTGGCCGCAGCCCTCCTATTGCTGTTCCCGAGCGGGCAAAAGCCTTCGCCTCCCTTGGTTTGGGAGAATTCTCCATCTCCATCCATGCCCACTGAGGCTGGGCCAGGCAGCTCCATGCAGGTCCCCCCGTAGCCGGGCACCTCCATAGCTGGCACCATCACCCCTGCTCACCCAGGTGTGCCCTAGCAGGAAGCTGGAGGCAGGCTCGAGCACCGGAACAGCTGGTGTCCTAACTGCTGGGCCGATGCCACCCCAAATGTCTGCATTCAACAGACGATGCCCGTGTGGTGCCTCCATTGCCCTGAACGGAGCGCTGGGGCCCAGTGCCATGGCCTAGTGGCCAAAACTGTGGCTTGCCCACAATGGATCCCATATGGTTACTGGCTCCTGTCCCGTCTGCTCCACTTCCCATCTGGCTCCCTGCAGAGAAATCAATCTTTAAAAAGAAGGTTGTTTAGTGAGTAA